AACCGTGATGACTTCACGTACAAAGCCACAGGCTCGCTTACTGTCCTCGGGAGAGACTGATGAAGTTCGCTCCATGCGCACCAGGTATCGTGAAGAGATTGATAAGTTCCGCGATGAGCTGGTTCAGAATGAGCAAAAGATGAAAAAGCTTAGTGTACAGGATCGTAAAGTACGCGATGCTCACCGTAATGTCGAGGCTCAAGAGGGCGAGTTGCGCCAAGCTCGCAAGCGTGCGAATGAGGAAGTTCGCAAATGGGAAACGCAAAAAATCCATATTGACACCAAGCGTGCGCAGTTGGCTTCTATGCTTGCAGACGAAAGGAGGGATGCTAGAGAAGGCGGATCTAGAGCGGAACAAGAGAAACGTAAGGTCATCGAGGACTTGAAGGAAAATACTTGCCGCCGTGCCGATACTGTTGGTGAGATCGCTGTTTGTATGGGCCAAATGGCTGGTGTTGTGCATGATCTTGCCTTGGCTACTATGGCTGGATTTAAGGACACCCAGCATCTGAGTGAACTAAAAACAGAAGCCGCGCGCCACAGAGATGCTATTTTGGAGGCCCAAAGGGAGTTTGAGCGTGCGAATGAGCGATATAACGATGCCAAGCATACTGCCAAGATTTGCCTTGATGAGACCAGAAAAATCACTGAGTCCATGACAGATGAAGAGCGACAGGCTGTTAGAGAGGCGCAGGAGCAGAGACGCAACGCTACTTTGGAGGAGTTGGAGATTGAGCTGGCCACGTGCAGACAGAGGCTCAACCTGGCGTCTAACAGCGGGCTGTCTGCCAGAGTCATGGAGCAATACGAAGAGCGCAAGCAGCGGCTGGCTCATATGCTTGCTGATCTGCAACGCCTGGAGCATGAGCTGGAAAGTGCGCGCCGGAAGAAGCTGCGTCTTCGAGACAAGTGGGAGCGTCCCTTGGAGGAGCTCATTGAGAGGATCGGCGTGTCATTTAGACAAATGTTTGACCAAATTGGGTGCATGGGCGAGGTTTCCTTGTACCGTGCCGGCGATGGCGTTGTCTACAGCAATGCAACTTTGGCCGGCCATCCCCTTCCTGCTGCCTCTCAGAGAGCCGGTAGAAAGAGGTCCGTGGACATTAAATCCCAGAGTCATCTGGCAGCAGGCGCTGAGGATGACGACAGCAACGACGGTGAAGATGGCAATGGGCTGGCTATCCCGAACGGCATGCCTCGTGATGATGAAGACTATGACAACTGGGGTGTTGAAATCAA